TAAAAATCCTGGTATCGCCCATCCCTAGTGAATGATTACTGCATGGTTATGCATGTGGTAATTTACCTCAAGTTGGTGCTTTTGTGGGACTTTAGTGAAGGCCAGTGAACTTTGAGACCTGTATAGAAGAGCGCCCCCCCCCCCCCTCGAATAACATTGCTATTATAGGAGTCCCCAGGGTGGTGGTCCCAGGTACAAGATTGTTTCATTATTCATATTACTAGTTTACTTTAATATGCAATAGACAATTTCCCAAATTTATGTGGCTGTATGTGGACAGTAGCATGAGGTCAAGATATTAGCATGGACAATGTCAGCCCAGAGTTCATTCAAACATAAAATTTTGTTACATGTGTACTTAAACCTCAGCTAGCTGCCTAGCTCAAGCTAGTCTGTGAAATATCTAATAATTCATTCATTTTTACATGGATATCACCATAGCTATATCACTTTGTCTAATTAGGTGCGTGTGGGGGGGGGGGGGATCATCTACCTCTGCTATGTGATTTGCTTTCATTATAAATATATTTAGTAATATTATAAAACCCCTTTTGATAACAAAATATGATTCAAGACTAGTGCTTTTCTGATTGATCCATGTACCTCTCATCCTCGTCACCTAAGACACGAAACAGATCAAGAAGCAAGGAACGCAATTCACCATCTCCACCATATTTCCAAGTGAATGTGAAATTAAATTTAGACAACATGTGATTTATTTTATCCCAAGACATTGTGAATTTCAAACAACAAGCTTTGTTCGTTTTATAGCCAACGAAGTTTTAATCTTGGTTTTAATCGTTGAATATCACTAAGTATCTTAATACCATATATAAATGATTTATCTTTAACCATTGGCGGTCAATGGCGCCAAATTTTAATCCAAAACAAATATATGTGCAACGTTTGTGGGAACAATTTGAAAGGAGCGCAGTCGATAAACTGTTCCACAAATAGTAAAGGCCGTCATCCGTTTTTATTTCGACGATTGCACAGTAAGTTTAAAAAATGAACTGGGTACATAGAAAAACACAGCTTTTATGAAAATGTAAAATGTAAACAAACACAAAAAAAGGCATTTTCCTTGGGGAGCTGTGGTTTAGAATATATGCTGGAGAACCAAGCCCGCGAGCGCCTGCTTTGCAGGCTATTGTAATCGTGGCAATTATTTTATTACTTTTACCAGTATTAATATAAATAGAATAGAAAATTTGCAGGTGCTAATAAACGTTGAATATGTATAAATTTTTGTACATTTTTTCCTGTATTACTGTGTTTGCTTGTTGTGTCGTAAAAGAAGCTAACAGCCAGAATGAGGTGCCAAAATATACAATCGATCTCGACCAGCCAGCGGAGTCAAGATGGCGAGAAATTGGGCATGATTTTGCAGACTTAGCTCCTTTTCTACGCACGATATTGAAGCAAAAAATTCCGCCTGCAGTTTTCCCGTTGGCCGAGGAGGTAGCCTTGTACGTGGACACTCTTTTTGACGAGCCGTATCCAGGAGAACTGAAAGGCGTTGCAAAAGCAACCAATTTGACTCTATCGGAAGTGATTTTGGCAAACATATTTTATGATCTTACAGCATACTGTACAAGTATTGTAGCACAAGACGAACAAGACGAACAGGGTGATATTTTTCATGCGAGAAACTTGGATTATGACAATGCTGATTATTTTCGAAATCTCAGTATTCATGTTGATTTTCTCAGAAATGGTAAGTAAAGACTGACTAAGGTGTGAAATATTCGAAGGGGGCAGGGCGTTTAATGAGGGTATGGGAGAAACAGAGAATGCTCCTTAAAAAATAATAATACATCAATTTTTCTACTGTTGATACATAATCTAAACTTGCCTATAGTTACCTTCATACCCAGACTCTTTCCTCTATGAGTAAGTAAGAAAAGCCACTGACAGTGTTTTGTTGGTTTCTGTTTGACTTCCTCTTGGGCATTCCTTGCAGGTGACAGGTTAGGTTGATTGTGTTGTTAAGAGGTTACAAAACTGGATGCTAATTTTATTGACACCGCCTGCACCAAACACCTCTGAGATGGTCAACACCGTATTCAGTGGACTCAAAGTCATGCAAAGCTGTGTCCTAATACTCAGCAAAGTGAACTAATGATCAAACAACCACATATTGCAGGAATCATTGTAAAAAACCGTAATTGCCAAGATGGAAGGCATACTTATTTTATTCACTCAGCTGTGCTACAAACACCTTTTATGCATGATAATGTAGAGGCTAGTACTAACTGTATAATTTGTTGATGATTAATGTTTTTATGTTTCATTTTACAAGGAAAACTTGTCTACAGTGGAATCACATTTGCTGGCTACATTGGCATTTTAACAGGCCAGAAACCACTTGCCTTCACAGTAACTTTGGATGAAAGGGATAAAGGTTACTTGTGGGAAAATATATTTCAGCTTCTTTTGGCTAAAACTACACCTGTTGGCTTTTTCCTGCGATCATTACTAGCAAACGAGGAGAGTAATTTTGATTATGTCATTAAACAAATTTCCCAAGTTGAAATGATAGCACCAGCATATATCATCGTGGGAGGAGTAAAGAAGGGAGAAGGTGCTGTTGTTACTAGAGCTAGGATTGAAACACTTGATGTTTGGAAACTCAATGTTTCTGATGGAAGGTATGTGTGAATAACATTATTATAAATGCGTTGAGGTATTCATTCCTTGCAAATCACTTTATGTTGTTCATGACAGAAATGACTATATTCCACTTTTTTCCAACAGGTGGTTTTTGGTTGAGACAAACTATGACCACTGGAAGCCACCACCATCAAGTGATGATAGACGACACCCTGCAATTAAAGCTATGAATCAAATGGGCCAGAAAAATGTTGGAGTTAAAGGATTATTCCAAGTCATGTCAACTAAACCAGTTTTGAATAATTCAACCGTATTCACAAGTATAATGTCTGCAAAATTTCCATCAATTTTCACAACATGGAGAAGAAGATGTTGTGCTTAATCAGGGTAGACAGAAAACCCTACCTTTTATCAGTTATCACTCTGTTGCATAGCCTGCGTAGCAGCTAGAGCCGCTGCGCAGGCTACTGTTGAACTAATGAATGTGTAATTATGGTGTAAATTAACATTTGGTAATGTACAATAAGATTATTAATTAACTACGGTAATATGGTATATGACACTATTAATAATATTTTTATATACTATTGCAAATATGTGATGGTTTATTAATTAAATATCAGCTAGAATTTATATATGAATGATAAAACAGTCTTAAGTTCTTAGTAATAAAATGATTACTGCAAAAATATACAGTAACACAAGAATAATTACAAAACAAGGTTGGAATTATTACTCACATCAATCATCTGATGCATTTAGGATTGTAATAATCTTTTCTAGTTTTTACCACCTATGCCTGGAAAAGTAATAATTCCTTTTGGAGAGGCAGTTAAACCTTCTCAAACAAGGAAATTAATGTAACCCCTCTCATTGAATGGCAACTCATTTCCTTATAGCACAAAATGTCACTAAATGGCAACTTCATTGTTTTTGTATGTTATTCAAGTGTGAATGAAGCAAGTAATGTACTTCATTTTTTCTCTTTGTTCAATAACAATTGTCTGTTTAGTCCTTCACAATTTCTTGCAATTTCAATAGCCCAGAATTGAATCCTTGGTACTGTAAAATGGAAAAGCAACAGCATTAATTACCCATTGCATTGTGCCCAATGTGCCCTACTTTATTATTCACTAAAGAACAAAAAACTATTTACTTGTCAAGGGGAGAGCAGGTTGGAGTAACGTCTACAAACCTAATGTTGTGTTTTCATCAGAAATTCCTTTTGCTGAATCAAGTCTGCAAATATACAAAAACAATTCCAATTAGGGACCGGTCATTATTTATCTGGGGTGGGGCCCGAAAAATCCTTGTATGCAGAGGTGGGGGGGGGGGGGAATTAACCATATTTTAATCACCTAACCATATTTTAATCACACACAATACAATATATACTACTATAGTTTTTACACATTTGTGACACAATAAGTCCAATATGTTACAAAATCTAAAGCACACCTGAGTAATGTCCCAAAGTTATAATCTTCAACCTGTCCTTTAAAACTTTCACAAAATGGTCTCCATCTCTAGGATAGAGTAACAATATATACCAATTAACCCATTAAGCTCTGAGATATTGACAGAGTAAAATAATTAAGTAGGGCACAATATGGGCAGTCTGATTAACTCATTGATTGCCAGTCCTCTCCCCTTGAGGAGTAAATCACTTGACATTCGTTTGCGGACAATTACTAATAGTGATATAAACATCTCTTGCTTACATCTTTTGATGCTTTTGTTTTCAGGTCATTAAGGTCCAAGGTATCAATCTGCAATTAAATTTCAATTTTTTAATCAATTTTTAATACAGTATGTACAGTACTAGTACAATCACATCACATCACATCACATGAACCAGACAAGATCTACAGTTAATAACAACTAGACTTTCCACCTTTATGTCTTTCATTTCTGTTTTAAACTTGTTGTATATCTCATTATCATGGCTACAGAAAGTAAAACAAACTTGTAAAGTATCTGATGGCTCAAAACATCTGAATAACATCCTGGTCACATGAAATAGCAACCTGCTTTAATTATACCTATACCTTGTAAAATTGAGGTCAGAGCAATCAATTGAGGATATCAGCTAAATATTTGAAGATAAAAAAACAGTTCAACTAGGCGTAAAAAAAATACCTGTGGTTCCGGTTCCCGACCGACCCTATTTTTTTCTGCAGACCCTATTATTTTTTCAATGTGATTGACCGTGCGACCCTATTTTCTCCGGATGGTTGCGGGCTGCTGCCAAAATGGTGTCTGTTGTCACACTAGAATTATTGAAAAAAAAAAACGAAAAAAAATATTTAAAAAAAAAAATTTCCAACCTACCACCCTAATTTTTTCGCGATATGAAACCGGAACCACAGGGGTTTTTTTACGCCCTATATACTGCATAAATTGTTTGAGCAAATTCTGACAGATGACATTGCATTGCATTGAAATGGTGACATAAAGAAAATTAAATAGCAACATTTGACACAAACTGTGTCTAGCAACTGAAGATATACTTTGATGTAGTGATCGAGTAGTGAATCATTTGCTACATTTTTGAAACTGTAGCTGCAGTAAAAAATTTTGTAGTCAACCTGCTCGTGTTGAGAATCAGATGTGTGACATGCATATATACCCATGAAACTTACATTGAAGTAAATCTCAGCATGATCATAAGCCTTCATCGCCCATGCTACTTCAAGTGTAGGCTAATTAAGAAATACAGAAAAAAATTTTTGATATTGTCAATTGGTAATATAATACTATAGACCCTTTGCACTGACGTCACAAATCCTTAGAGTGTCCTCCAGATGCTCCCTAACAATATCTGTTCGGGTACAACAACCACATACAGCGCAAAACTAACCATTTTAATACAATATTATTAAAAGTTTTACAAAATTTGCTTTGTTTACAAAAGTTATATTATGCATAGATTGCTAATTCGTCCTCCAGATGCATCATCGCCGGCGCTGTGACGTCATGTGCAATGGGTCTATAGACACTGTATGTGACCAGTTTGGTGGTTGTGAACATATTATGAACTACAACTTTCTTGGCGTGTATCACTTGATTACTGATGCAACTCTGATATATACAGTACTTAGATTGTTCGTCACACATTCACACTCGGGGGGAAAAAAAAAACCCTAACAGGCCCAACCCATTGAGTGGCAAAATGATCAACTGCGCGTGCTCGGCAAGTTCCGCGAACAGCTAAAGAGAGCTGTCATCCAATGGGATGCATGCATGTAGTAACTTGCCGAGCATGCGCACAAAAAAACTGAGTACACTAGTTATAACTCTGCATATGTATCTACTCTGTGATGGGGAGCATCAGGGCGCATTGCCACTTAAAGGCTTTTGCATGTACTGCCTGCATCATATATATAGCACTCCAGTTACAGCTTTCGGTCTACTGTCTCTAAAAATACACTATTACTGAGTATTACAGTGACAAATAACATTTAAAACAAAGTAAAAATGAAATAACTCACATCGTTCACATATTTACTTGCGTCTGTACTGATACTCATTTGAAAAATCGTATATTTCGCGTAAAAAATACGACTTTATTTTTTTGCGTGACTTCGGCAAACTTTCGCGTGTTAAAAATTGCGCTAGATGATAACAAAGAACGGCTATGCCGCTGGTGCATGATACAGCTGGCGAGCTCAGTTGGCATGGAAATGAGGCTGGTATTGCTCATGCGCAATGTGCAACGCAAAACAACTCATGAATTGAAAATTCTGTTTTGTCGCTTCCCGAAGCGAAACTGGATTATATTTTACTCCGAAAACCTTGAATTAATTCCTTTCTAACATTATATGGAGCGTATGGATGATTTAGAGAAAAACGCCGAGGATGACTTGGTATAAATATGCTTTTATTTTACATGAATGAACGATATTTCGCAAAATATTTGAATTTACATGTGTGTATACGTTTTATTGTCCATAATAAAGATGTAAAAATACATCTCTAGACAAATGAATTGTAACAGGGTAGTGTTTATGGTCTTTATATAGGCGATGCAAACGGATATTATAGCTATGACGACGATAAAAAAGAAGGGAAAATCGAACTATCAACAAGAGAATGCTGGTTGTCTCAAAATGTTTGAGAAATGGACCGAATCGGAGCAAGTAAAATTCGTCGAAAATCTACTTTCGCGAATGTGTCATTATCAACATGGGCACATCAACTCCTTTTTAAAACCCATGTTACAGCGCGATTTTATCACGTCTCTACCAGGTGTGATGAAGACGTTTAAATATATATTAAAACTAGAATATGTTAGCTTTAAAATAGGGTAGATTTATCTAGGAAGTCGAGTACTTTAAAAGCTATTTTGAGTGTTAGACGATCTAAAATTCCCAGCGTATTTATTAATGTGGCGACTAGCTTCAGACACCTTGCTGCCTTGGGTAGTCTATTGTGAATTATTTAAAAACATAATGCGATATTTGTACGATTTGCCTATTACGTCGTCTAGACTACAAATCCAAAACAGTTTTTGGCAAGTTAAACAATTTGTTTATGTTTACTAGCAATTTTCATTAATTTTTAGGATAAAAGTCATTGTTTTTTCTACATTGACCGGAAGTCGCGTGTCTTGAATATTTATATGACTCAGGGTGACTCTTAAATTTTTAAAAGACTTTTAGCTCACTCCGAAAGTAGTGCTTAGATTGCTACTTTCACTTTGTTGTATTACAGTAAATAAAACGAGTTCTGTATTTCTTACATGTTATTACCCTGAGAACCTAAACAGTTATGAGTCATGTGATATAATTTCTTACCTCTAAACAGAGATTTGTTACTTTGAAGTGCTGACAAATAGGTTTAGAGTTTAAGATTATCTAAAAATAGAGTAGTTTCTATAAGCATATAATGTTTTACATAAGTAAAAGAAGTTCCAAAAACAATGTCAATGAAGGAACAAAGATGTATTTGATACACTGATACTTATCTAACCAGAGAATACTCTGAATAAAATCATCTTGGACACTCATGTTTTGAGTAGCAACAAAAAAAATGCACAGCTCTTCATAGCTCTTAAAGTTGTTGGCTGGATGATAATATACAGTTTCAAATAATTCCAAACATCATTTTCACTAAAACATTCTGCCAAGCCCAGATAATGTAACATACAAAGCATACATCATGCTACTCTCGCTTGTTCATCTGATAGCTCGTATATTCTACTTTCCAATATTTTAATTTGGCCTGACACTCAGACCCTTTGCTGCATAGATTTAGTTTTGAAATCCTTTTTTGTTCCAGAAATGTAAAAGAAATTAAACTGCCTCAGATATTTATCACAAATACATCAAATTATATATCAAATTGAAGCTTAAATGCCACAAGTCGTAAATATGCAACCTGTGCACATACATAATGTTTTCCATGGCAACAATGTACCCTCTTTTGAGTTTTTCCTTGGTAACAGTGATGGTTATTCAAGAAGCCTAGTTTCTCTGTACAAAAAAGTCAACATACTTCACCCCTAAAATTACATGGGCTCCTTTCTGTTACTTGATCAGAGCACACCTACTTTATGTTGACAAATTCTATACAGTGTTGGTTTGCCTTATAAAGACATATTTTCTGATCTCGTTGATGGCTTTGAAATAGTGACCTAAATGCCTTTGTAATCCATAGAGAAAGGCTTGGATCATGTGGCTGAGAATATTTTGTCATACTTGGATGCAAAATCTATGTGTGCTGCAGAGCTGGTATGTAAGGAATGGTACAGAGTTATCAACGATGGTATGTTGTGGAGAAAGCTGATAGAAAGGAAAGTAAGAACAGACTCAATGTGGAAGGGATTGTCTGAAAGAAAGGGATGGTAAGTGGAATGAATTTAAAAATAAAGCACTTGAAATAATGGGCATACATTATATTCAACTCTGATATTATAATTCCATTCGTCATCATCATCACCCATCTTTACCATCACCTGTACATTGTCACCTGTACATTATTACTCCCAGCATTATCACCTGCATTATCACCATCATTACACTGTCATCACATACAATGTGACCATCATCATCAAATTTCATTACCACTACCATCATCACCCACACCATCATTATGAGTTATGACCACCATCATTACCCACACCATCATCACCCACACCATCATCACCCACACCATCATCACCCACACCATCATCACCCACACCATCATTAGCCGAATTCATATTAGAGATGGGAAACTCGTCTTAGATGGGAGACTCGTCTTAGATGGGAGACTCGTCTTAGACGGGAGACTCGTCTAATATGAATCCGGGGGCAGACGAATTTCCCGTCCAAACTTTCCCGTCTAACTTACCCGCCCAAACAGACGGGAATCCCATCTAGACGGGAAAGTTGTCTTAAATTCGAATTTAACCGTCCCTAAATTCATATTCAGATGGTTTTGACAGACGAGTTTCCCGTCCCTAATATGAATTTGGCTATTATGACCACCATCACTACTATATATATATATATATATATATATATATATATATACAACCACTATCATCATCACCACCACCATCTTCACCACCACTGGTCATCATCACCACCACCATCATTATCACCAACATAATTACCACCATCACCATCATTACCACTGTCACCAATGTCACTGTCACCTACTACCTTGTCACCATCATTTCCACTGTCACCAATGTTACCACCTTCACCATCACCTACTACGGTATGTCACCTTTACATTACCTGTATATACAGTACATGTAGTATTATAATTCTTATCACCATCATCTACAACATCACCATCACACTCAACTTTCTCTTGATCATCACCACCAGGAGTGTCACCACTATCATCATTAACAGCAATGTCACCATCACAGCCATCACCTACCATATTGGTACTGCCAACATTGCCTAGACTGTCAGCATCATTGCCACTGCTTGTGCTTATTGTCAAAATCATCACTTTTGTATACATTATGTTTAACCAATGTTCTAAAAATTTCCAGGGGTCAGTACTTGACAAAAGGAAAATCAGAAGATCCACAAAATAATTCATTCTTCCGCAAACTTTATCCACAGATAATTGCTGACCTTGAGGTATGCCTTCCGTAGTTTCATGTTTTGCTTAGTGTGTACAATATTATACATTAATTTTGTTGAACATTTATGTAGACAATTGAGACCAACTGGAGAACTGGCCGTCATCAGCTCCATCGTATAGTGTGTCGCAGTGAGAACAGCAAGGGTGTTTATTGCTTGCAATATGATGATGAGAAAATTGTCAGTGGATTGAGGGACAACACAATTAAGGTTTGTCATATTGATTATCTATTAAATGAACAAGATATTTACTTTTCAGATAGACAAACTGTATCCTGGAACTTATAACTGTTGAAAGGAGTGTATACTATCAGTTACGGGGTATTCACAAAAATTACCCTGGTATGTATAACAAGCTGAGTTTTATTATTCAGATATGGGACAGAAAATCTTTGGAAAGTACTCTTGTCTTGACTGGCCACACTGGATCAGTGCTGTGTTTACAGTATGATGAAAATATCATTGTTACTGGATCAAGTGATTCCACTGTTAGGTACGAAATCAGTCGTGGGTCACATTTATTTGGCATTCAAAAGCTTGATTTGTTTGAGAACTTCGATAATATGCTTGAAAACTGCTTATCATTTGGTTTCTAAGCATCACTTTGCAATTGAAATTCTTAATTTTTCTTGAAAAAAATTGATCTTCTCAACGAGTAGAACAGCTTCTGAAAGTGCTCTATCCCGCTCTCTGCTGGAGCGTGTTTGGGAGGGAAACGGAAGTAGAGAGCCTGGCTTGCGAGGTTGGTAGTATCCTTGCCACTGCATAGCCTGACACCAGAGCTCAAAATGGCAGGCTGCCAATGGCCAAAAGCAGGCCATATTATAGAAATGGCAGGCAAAAACAAATTTGAACTGCCAAAGAAAAAAAAAATGGCAGGTGAAATTCTATAGATATATTTCATTTCATTTGCTTATACCACAACTCATGTATACTAGATCACTTAGTTGGCTAAATACGTTTATATTTGAAATGTAAATCCAAGTTTACTGTTGTAAAATAGACAAGTTTAAAAACAATAAAAATGCATATCATGAAAACATTGATTTTTACAATATGACTCATATGAGACATCGCCATTTTGGCAGTTCAATGAATAAAAATGGCAGGCTAAAATTTATTTCACCTGCCAAAAAAAATTTGACTGGCAGGCCATATTTTTTCTATACACTGGCACCGACCATTCTTACTCAACAAACTCCTTCGTAATGTAAATCAGTTATATAAACAACAATTTGTCTCATTAATTTAACAGAGTGTGGAACATTCACAATGCGGAAATGGTGAACAACCTTGTGCACCACTGCGAGGCTGTGTTACATTTGAGATTTCAAGATGGCATGATGGTGACATGTTCAAAAGATCGTTCAATCGCTGTATGGGACATGCATTCTCCAACAGACATAATATTACGTCGAGTGCTCGTTGGACACAGGGCTGCCGTGAATGTTGTTGATTTTGATGACAAATATATCGTGTCTGCATCGGGGGATAGGACTATTAAGGTAGGCATTACACTCCGTTAATACAGAACAGAATGAATTAAAGACTGAACTCAAGTTTGCACGATGTTGCCGTGGGACGCATGAAAGCGGGTGAATTCCTGCGCAACCAACCGTGCGAATGTCTATTTGAACAATTAGAACCGGACGAATTTGCGTACTGTTCTGAATTTAATAGTCTGGTCAGGTGCATGTGAACGTATTCTTAAGCCCCGGTCAAACAAAGCTCTCTCAACTTTCATTCCCGGGTCGAACGAACAAAAACTTCAAAATATGAACCTCTTCACAGAATTGATGAGAGTGCATGAGAGGTGGTAAAACGCTAATTCTCAAGTCATTGTGTTTATCTTGTAGGTTTGGAGCACATCAACATGCGAGTTTGTACGAACTCTCAACGGACATCGACGTGGCATTGCATGCTTGCAATATCGAGATAGAATTGTTGTCAGTGGTTCATCAGATAACTCTATAAGGTATCACTAAAATTGATAGTTTCTTCTCTTTATATAGCATTACTCTTGCTACCCCATGAATACTAAATATTGAAAACAATGTAAGATTAAAATGTCATAAAGTTTCTTAGTAGCGAAACATAAGTAGCTGTACCTACAGTAGTTATATATTAATAAACTATAGCTCAACCTTGTCTTGTTATTTTTCCTAGAATTTGGGATATTGAATGTGGAGCGTGTCTGAGAATTCTAGAAGGTCACGAGGAATTAGTTAGGTATGGTATTAATCGATCTTACGTAATTTTTCAGTAGCCTTCTACTATCTGTCCCATACCACTGTCTAATTCCGTCACAAATAAAAATATTTTGTGGTCAGTGAACGTCCCTCTCATAAAAACATGGTGATTTTTAGGTGTATTAGATTTGATAACAAGAGGATAGTTAGTGGAGCGTATGACGGGTAGGTTACTTTCTTTAATCTTGTTTTCTTGTGTGAAAATTGTGTTATAGTTATATAAACATTACTCAGATTCTGATGTTTGTTTATTACAGTAAAATCAAAGTATGGGATCTAAAGGCAGCACTCGATCCAAGGACACCTCAATCTGCGTTGTGTATTCGAACACTTGTGGTAAGAATACGATTGTAAAAACAGGGGTGGATTTATAGGGGGGTGCGCACCCCTGTTGGCCTTGGTCAACAGCGGTGCAAAGGCAGTGCAAAAAATCAAATTCAGAAATATGGCACGATTTCCAAGGTTTTTCCTTTTTTGAAGTCAAACTGAAGCTCATAAATTCAATGCCCATATTGCAGGAGGAAATGGCATTTCTAGGGTTCTAACCACACATTCAGATTGACTTCCACTATCGCTACCACCACCTCTCGCATGGCTTAGTGCGCATCTGATTGGTTAATCGGATATATCAAACGCACCTGATTGGTTAATGGTCCCTTTATGGTAGTGGTAGACTGGTAGTGGAAGTCAAATCTGAACCTCACTATTAATAGGTTGTAATATTTTTGTGTCTATTTTAGGAGCACACAGGACGCGTGTTTCGTCTTCAGTTTGACGACTTCCAGATCGTAAGCAGTTCTCACGACGACACCATACTTGTCTGGGACTTTCTCAACTGTACTGACCAGAGTCAACCTACTACCAGAACATTACGTACTGCACCAAACACGGTGACAACAACCACTAGGTAGCACCGCCTCCCTGGTCAGACACACCTATACTGGCGGCAAACACGTTTCCATACCCCCACACACTTTCCGCTGCATTCGCGACACTTTAGATTATAAAATTTTTGTTTGGAACAAAACTAACATAAAATGAACAAAACGTAGGAGAATGTTGTAATACCTTCGTAAAGTTGTACAGTGAACTTAGATCCGAAAGAAGGGGGTCTCGATAAAGTGAAGGTGGTTGAGGGCAGAGTGGAACATGCATGCCAAGCCACTGGGCGTTCTTTAAGTAAGGATCTTGGTATCGATGCCTATAGCATTCCCCACATGTGCTAAAGGAGTGTAAAAGGATCTCTTGATATTTATGCCTGTGGGGCTCTTCCAAGATAAGATGACTTAGGCATATTTACCCCTTCCTTACTGTAGACACATGTAGGGTTTCGATCGGGAGTGAGTGAATTTACTAGAATAACAAAGTATTTAAACTGTTTATATGAGCCTTATTTGAATACCGGGCACTTTCAAATCCTATATAAACTTCCTATTTCCTTCAGTGGAGAACCTGCCCATATACACGATAACAGTTTTAACCTTTTGTGTATGGCTCATGTAAGCTCGCCTACGTCATAGCCTCTAGAGTCTATTACGTAGGCCACATGTATAAGCATGCTTAAATAATTTCCACATTAACTTAGCATTCAATTGCATATGATGCATAAGCATCTGTAAATAGAAAATTTATGCTTGTTGATAAAATCAGTGAAAAATAGATATTTTAGGAATTGTGTAGAATTTAATCAAGGGTTTTGCTTTTAGTTTTGAATTTAAAGTGACGAACAAATTGTAGGGAGATAAAATCCCGTATTTCATGTTCTTTGGTGATTTTATTTATGCGTTTAAATTACATAACTCGACTGATGTGTGTATTTATACAAAATATCTTTAATGTCTACGTTTTCGAGTCATGGTTTGTTTTCTAGCGTGAAGAGGTACTTTTACAGTAAGGGTCAAAGACAAAGAATAGTCTTTTCGTAGCATGAGTCGTGGGCGATGTTCTTCGTGTATGCAAAGATTTTTACTTCAACTCTAGATAAGACCGCCTAATGATGTTGGACGATGATGTCAACAATGATGTCGACAATGGCGAATAATAATATCAGAAGATCCAGGCTTACGGATCGAAAGCTCGGCAAATAATAAATTTACGTGATGTTTCCACAAACCAAAACTGATAATGTTTGAGCCGACAATGTTGGACGCATTGCGAGCAATTTTGTTTTGCATTACGAACAATTTTATTTTACATTGATAACAAGAAGTTACTTTTAATTGTGTATCGAAGTTAGTGTTTTGCACTGAACATTTGTTTTGTGAACTGCATGCACGTACGGGCCACCGTACCTCGTCTACCTCCAAAAATGCGCATAAATGGAAAAGGGCAATGATACAAGTCAAGTCCAAAATCCTAGCTTGAGTGCTTAAGTCCGTAATACAGATTTTTTTGGCAACGATTGGACTCTAAACAAACAAGTGCTTTCATTTATTGATTTATGTACAATGTAAACAGTTCGAGTGATAAATGGATATAACCTACATATTAAATTTGACAGTTTTAATCTCTGTTTATCTGCGAAGATTACCCACTCTTGTACAACCAATCACGTCGTGATAATACAAAGCCCCACAATCTGAGTGGCTTTAATACACTTTCTCACAATATAAACCATTACCTTGTACAACTCTATAGCATTTACCACGGATTGTCATGCCGTTAGTTAACAAATATCTTAAATGTTCTCTAGTCCTTAACACGATGTGCCATAACCCGTTCAAACGATGAACGCATTTTATTTCATTCAGATGCATCCGTGTGGTCAGTGAGTTAACTATTTCAAGTATACTGAAGTCGGATAACCGACGCGAATTGTGATTATATTCTAAAGCAAAGAATAAACAAACGCAATCCTCCCACTCAACAACTTTCCTGTCGGCGTGAAAGCTGCTTGTATGCCTTGTGAACTTTTCTGTACTTAGAGGACATTTTTCTTTAAAACCTTTGTCATCTGTTGCGGTGGCGATTTTTTCTGTATAATTCTCTTTCTTGATTGCTTTTGTTTCCACAAGAGTTTCACTTCCTTCTTCCGTTTCTTGCTCGCATTCAGTTAAAAATAACTTTTTGAATTCTCCGCTTTGTGTATTTTCATCAGTGGCGACCCCGTTCGGAATACGTAGTTCCGTTTTAAACTCGTTATTTCGCGGGTTCTTTCTTTCAAAATGACATTTTTGTTTCGCAGGTTTTATTCGCTGGCTTGTCGTTTCTATGGCACCGCTTTCGTTGCTAAGTTCATTGGTCCAGCTTTCGGCAAAAAGCAGACCAGTTTGGCTATCGTACACTTCAAGTTCACAAGCGGTTTCTGGGAAATCTTGTGGAAAACAACCAATGCAACCGAATCCTGTGCACAAAATTCGTCCGCTTTTCGTTTTGTGTGTGGCAACTCCGGTTATCCATCTATTCGCTGTTATATATTCGGCCATTTACATTACCTTCAACTTACGAATCGAGTCTTTGTAAACAATCATTTGTGATTTGTCTCATTTGGTTGTTTTGTAGATCACGTGTTAAACATTTGCATAATTTGCATATATCGGAAATTATCGACAATCAATCGGGAACAGATGTTTACATAATTATATGGAAGAAGCTCGAAGGCGCGAAGATCAAAAAATGTAGATCGATGCAAACTGTAATAAAATTGTTGTTTTGTTCTGAAAAGAAAGATTAACAACGAAATATCTGTATATATAATACTACAACAATATGAGTTCTATATCAACGCTAACTCCAACGTTAAGGCGAGGTTCTAACTTGTCCGTATCTTCACCATCAACGCCAATAGATTTTCTTTCACCAACGAGTCAATTGAGGCGAGCTCGCCCTGTAATTTTGTCTACCCAAGCTGGCACACTTGCTGAGAACGATGATGCGACGGAAAAACAGCAAAGACAAAAGTCCAGGGTCAATGCTTTGGTTTTGCAAAGCCCTGTTTCAACAACACCGAAATCTGCTAGTAGATTGAATTCAGTTGAACGGTTCGTTCGTATTCATGTTTACTGTGTAGTATTTTATTGCTAAAAAGTATTAATATGTCGTGTGTTCTGTTTATTGGAAAGAAATACTATATTACATGTAAACAATCGAGAACTTACTTAATATAAATATGTTAGCACTGTATATAACACTGATAAAGTGTAACTTTACCCCTGGATATCGGCTTCAGTTCATGTCAAAATAGATCACCATTTTATATATCCATTCTGTTCTCTCAAAAGTCTGCCATGGGGTCAATTAAGTATACGATTTAATTAAGAAATATGCAGTTCAATACAGTGCTGATTTATTGGGGATTGTATACATCAATTGATCCCTACCATGTCAGGAAGGGCAGTTTTCCATTACAATCGCTTTGCCCACTTGGGACATTATAAAGCATTGAATATAGTTCAAATGTCACAAGGAAGCAAAGTCACAAAGAATGTCACCAGCTCTTGTGGTGTTTGGTCACCACTCTTGCCTTTCAAACTGGGAGACGCGGGTTCAATCCTTGGTTTAATAGACCTCTACTCAAGGTCTTAAAATAATTGAGATTTACTGACGTCAAACAATGACGTCAGTAAATGGTAGGCTTTTGCCTCGGATCTCCTATCAATTGGACAATAGCCTGTTAGGAAATCCAGTCCCCAATAAGTGACCAGGATACCATGAACTGTATAGACCCTTTGCATTGACATCACAAATCCTTAGAGTGTCCTCCAGATGCTCCCTAACAATATCTGTTCGGGTACAACAACCACAAACAGCGCAAAAATTAACCATTTTAATACAAAATTAGTATAAAGTTTTACAAAATTTGCTTTGTTTACAAAATTTATATTATGCATGGCTTGCTAATTTGTCCTCCAGATGCATCATCACCGGCCTGTGACGTCATGTGCAATGGATCTATTACTGTAACACAAAGCAACCAAAAATATCCTCAAAGGTTGCATTGATAAGATTTTTGCTTAATTAACATGTATATTCATCTAAAAGAAAGTGCATCAATGTTGTTCACTTGCAGGTCCAGTCTCACTGTGAATGGAAGGACAAAATTGACCAATATACAACTAAAAGATTTGTATTCCAACTGTTTGAAACTTTCAACTGAAAATGTAAGTGATTGAGGAGTAATTAGTTGCAATTTTTCAGGATGATTTTGGCAAACGTCTTCTGAGATTGGCAAACATCATTTGACAACAACACTGCTTGGGCGTCAGCCAATAATGAAAAATTTACTGATACAATAAATTCTAATAAGAGATGGAAGCTATCGGCTAATTATTGGTAGTAAGTTAGTAAACTGCCATTAACATAAAATCAAAATGGGCCGACCTACCTAAAAATAAAGTTACATCTTTCATGTAATGATATATGTTTTATATTATTTTGAAAACCTAAGTTTTCACATGCATGATATTTAAATGCTTTAGAAAATCAATTCAAAGAATGCATTTGGTCTTCAATTGATTGATTATATGCAAGAATTTTTGACAAATGTTGATAAAGATCAAGGAGTTACAAACTTTCAGGTACTGTTTTAATACTTGGATATCTTGGTGGAAAAGAGTGTACACATAATTTCACCCC